GGGGGGGGGAGAGGTGTGAAAGACTGCAAGGTGCGTAAGGGTTGACGATTAAAAATTCAAGAAATGCAGAAGTTGTGCACCCCTGCCCAGCAGTGCCCCAGACGATTGTATTGCTCAACCACAAGGCACGAGGCTAAGCGGGCTGCATGCGAGAAGACGGGTGGGGGCTGTGCACGGGCTGAAGGGGCCTTGGGGGCCCTCGGTGCCCACCCGCCCCGGCTGCCCACCCCTAGGGCTGGGGACCTGCTCGCAGCCCGCCGTCCCTCTGCAGCCGGCGTCCTCGGTGGGGATCTGAGGTGACGCTGTGCATGGCTGGGTGGGAGGTGCACCCTGCTACCCATGTCCGGAGAGCCCCAAGGAAAGCAGGGCCAAAGCCACTGCCAGCCGTTGCACCTTTTCTTTAACCTCATTTTTAAACTACAATGTGGCACCAACATTGGATTTTACTTCTAATTTCCAGAGATGAATTTTGAAAGAGAATAAATGTTCCGTTCTGGCACTGCAAATTTCACTCACTGAAAATGTAGCACCCTGTTGAACTAGTTACGTATCGGGGATTTTTTTTTTTTGACATTTCTTAAGTTTTAAACCTCAGTTCTCCAGAAATTCTATGCCGGGCACAGGAAACCCTGGCTACGCTCTATGAAGCTCTGCATCACGCCATTAAACACAGGGTTTGCAGCTCTGCAGTATGGCAGGCAGGCAGATAATTGTAAGGCCAAGTCAAATTTTCCCCTTAACAGTGGGCAGCTATCCTTCTAGGACTAATAACTCACAAAGCTCGAAACGCTGAACTTTTGCCACTGGTGAGCTATTTGTGAAGGACAGACTCACATTCTTTTTGGTCGATTCCAAACTGAAAAAAACCCCAAAACTGGCTACAGAGAGTTTATTCCAAGGCCAGGTTTGTGTTCAGGCAGAGAGGTGAAGAAAATGCAGGCAGTTAGGAGCAGGGGGTGTTATAAAGAAAGGTGAGCCAGCAAGGGCTCAACTGTGTTGCCACCGCTCCGGCGGACAGCAGCTGCGATCCCCTGCTCTACAACTTCCTCTACCAGTCCAGACTGCCCCTAAATTTGGTTTTTTTTTTTTAATTTTATGCTCATTGGGCAGTTTTTAATCTAGCTACTTCATATTTAAATTGAACTAGTTCATTTTTAGCTCTAGCAAGTACAACACACAAAAGTCCAGCATTAAGCATCATCATCCTGGAAAAACAAATACAGATTTAAAACACAAGAGAGCTTAAAAATAATAATAATATTTACTGCAGCCCATCAACTGCAATTACATATTTTTGACGTTAATAAGCTACAACCACAGCAACTGTAACACACTAATTCCTTACAAGTCAATGAAAGAACCAAGTTGTAAGAAATGTTAACCTGGTAATGGGAGGCTGAAAACTGCGCTATGCTGAGGATTCAGTGATGGATAATGGTTTTGTTTCTACTCTAAACTACATTTTAAAGGCTACACGATTCAAGTCAATAAAATTTATACTTCATCTATGAAATTCTACCATCTTAATTGTGCAAAATGGATTTTTTCTTCAAATAATGTGTACATAGTGTGAAGTGTTTACACTTAATAACCAGAATATTATTTAATCATTTTATAGAACCTGTACACAATTATAAACAATTTCTTGTGAAATATTTACTTTGATTTTTATTCTGTCCACCTGTGAAACATCTCAGTTTTGTTCATTAAAGATAAGCTAAAATATAATTAGCAATGCTGCAAAGCAGTATTTTTTTCGTCAGGTATTTTGGAACTGGGCAATTATCAAACACAGCACAGTTCAGTTTTAAATGATAAAAAATCTTTACAAGATAATCAGCAATTCCCATGCTTGTAGGATTCTTCACATTCACAGAAACTTCAAGATTTATTTCATTTTATGAGAGTAAACAGAAAACAAATAAAAATACATCTTCAGGAAGACCACTAACATTTAGTCAAGACATTATTTGTAAAGCAGAGTGGACAAAATATGCACACTGTGTTAATATAACAATGTTCAGTTTAGTTTGTCATGGAACGTATCTGTGATACGAACCTACACTTTTTTTTAATCTAAGGAGTCATTACCATCCTGACAGATAAAACAAAGCAAAAAAAAAGAAAAACACAAAGAAACCAGATGTTAAATCCTTCACTGCTGCAAGCAGATTTAGTCTAATAAAATGAGCAAAGCTACATTTGTTCACCAAAGTAAAAATTTAGGCCAAAAATATACTTTTAAAATGATAGATTGCACTGTGTAAACCTGATAGTCAGAATTCTACAATTAAAAAGTATGGAGATGGGGAAGAATTCATTAAGAATGAAAAAACCCCAACAAACCCAGTTCTAAATCACACGTGAGTACACCATGGGAAAAAGGTCACTGACCCTAATTTTAATAGAAAAAATATTTTAGAAAGCTTGAATCTCATGCTCAGATAAGGTCTGCTGGAGATTTCTTCGCTTCTCCCTGTATGAAATTCATGCCCATGGAAAACAGTATCAAGTTACCAAGAGTTTATTTACTGATTAAAACAGCTTGTTTTTATGAGATGTTACTGCCTAGTATGTGACATATTATTGCAAAATAATGGTGGGATTCAAAAGATGACTATGTCCATATTAGAAATAAACTTCACTTTGGGAAAATAAAAACATGCATAGTAAAAAGAAAAAAAGCTTCTGCAAGAAACGAATAGTTTTGGTTTTTTTTCCCTAAATGAAATGACAATTAGGTTTCCAGTTTCTGTACTTTCTCACTCCTAAGAAAATCCAGCCAGTGTTTATTTAAATAGCTATAATTGACCATTCTCTGGAAATATTAAGTCACAGTTATATCACACTATTTCTGTTTCTGCGCAAAAGGTTCAGGGCTTTTATACCAGAAATGGAACACAACACTACCTTCGGGGATTTTAATAAATGTAGGGAACACTGCTAGCAAAAGAGTTGCTGTCCAAATAGACTGACATACACAGGCCAATGTAGCCTCTAATGACAGAGTAAGATAATGACAGGCCCCCCTCCAAATCAG